AGTTAAATTCTTAAAACTGTCTGCATTAAAAAATAAAAATGTAATGATGTATTAATGAACTCAGAGCTGCATTAAATTGTATCGTCATAGAGTTTCAGCTTTACCCTAACCCTTAAACTGAAAGCCAGCAGTAACAGTAATGCGCTCAGTGTTTTCCTGTCTGATTTTTTTGTGATGCGGATTTTCAGCCCATTCATTTGAAATCACACTGGATCATACCAAAAGTAATGCATTGCACTTTAAAAATGCACTGCAAACGGATACCAATTATCTATTCATTTATTATTATATTACCAGTCATTTATAAAGCGCCAATAGTTCACTCAGCGCTGTACATTACAAAGGGGGACAGAACATGTGACAGAATTCAATACCAATTCAGATGCAAAACCATTGGTGGGGATCGTGGGCCCTGCTCTTTCAGAGCTTACAATCTAGAACGGAGATGGTGATAGGAGATTACAGGTGGAGGAGGATAGCTAGTGGGGGATGAGGTGAGTTTGGTTAAAAAAAAAAGGGAAAAAGTGGTAGGGAGGTCAGCAATGTTTGCAGGGGTGGTGTGGAAAAGGTATGGACATCCCTGAAGAGATGGGTTTTCAGGGTGAGGCGCCTAATGGAGAGGACGGAGTTAGGTTGATTAATCTGAATTGGGTTGGGGCAGGGGCAGGAGAGTTCCAGAGGATGGGTGACTACACCTGGAGAAGTCCTGGAGGCGCGGGCATGGGAGGGAGTAGGAGACACTAGGGAACTAGAGTGAAGGAAGGTCTTGGTCTGTTGTGAGGAGCGGAGTGTGCGTGCTGGGCGCTGTGGGTACTTGGATGACTATTAGGATCAGTGATGAAATGTAGTCGCGGGGACAGTCATGGTGGTCAAGCTTTGTGACGTCAGTGTTTGTTAGGATTTTAAATTTGGATCCGTTTAGCGTCACAATCGGAAGGCCAGTGGTGAGGGTTTCGGCAGTGAGGACTAGGTGGCGGAAGAAAATGTGCGGGTTGGAAAGTTTGAAATGAGTTCTGGCAGCCGTATTCAGGAATCGACTGAAGCGGGGCGATGGGGATAGCCAGCGGCGAGGCCAGAGCCTGTGAGGAAGGGGAGTTGCAGATAAGTCGGTAGTCGTGCTAATGCATGAGGGAGTGGACCTGAGCTGTATAGTGTGTTTCTGGGGTTAGGATCGTGCGGATTTTGGCGATGTTGCGGAGGTGGAGTCTGCACGAGTTTGTTAAAGATTGGACCTTGGGTGCAAGGAAGGATATAATGTTATATGAATATCTAGGAGTAGAGTACCCAGAATTGACACCACAGTACTCTGGAGCCCTGCAGAGCGGGTTTGGATAGTGGCGTTGATGGATGTGATGTAGAAGTCAATGTGGGTGTGGAGGTTTCGAAGCTGGGGGGAAAGACAAGGAGCTCGGTATTTGGAGAGATTCAGTTTAAGAAGAAAAGGAAGTGGAGCGACAATTCCAATCTGATATGTCCCCGCTCAGTAGGTGTGTGAGATGTTGGGCAAGAGACCGAGGGGGTGCGAGTGTGGGGATTGAGAGATAAGAATTATGTGTGGTCGTCGGCATCAGTAGAGTGTAGTTGAATGAAGTCCGTGAGAAGTGTATGTATTGGCCACAGGGAAGGAGGTGTAGATGGAGAAGAGAAGGGGGCCCAAGGACAGAGCCTTGAGGGGACCCCAAGCAGATGAGGGGGAGTGAGGGGGTGGTGGTAAGCATTAATAGGTAACGCTGAAAGAGGCGTTGTGACGAGGTAAGGAAGACGATAGCCATGAGAGAGCAGAATCAGCTGAGGCCGATGGAGTGTAGTATTTTGAGGAGGAGGGGTGGGTCAACTGTGTCGAAAGGCCCGCAGAGAGAGATTCAAGGAGTAGGAAGCACTGATTGTGGCCATTAGCTTTGGCGGTTTAGAAGAGTCGTTGGAGAGTTTGAGTTAAGGCGGTTTTCCCGTTTGGAGTGTAGTGGGCGGAAGCCGGACAGTAGGGGATCGAGGAGGAGTTGTTGTCCGTTGAGGTGAGTAGACATTAGGCGGAGAGTAAGACGAGGCGCTACGAGGAGTATTAGCTGTAAGTGGGAAAGTGGGAGCAGGGAGATGGTCTGTGAGGGTTGATCTGGGACATTGGGGTCCAGGGAGGGCTTATTATAAGTATGGGGGTGATGTGTGCATGCGCTTCAGATGGGGAGTGAAGGGAAAGTGCCGGATAGTGAGAGAGGGAGAGATTAAAAAGATGTGGGCTGAGGGAGCGTATGATGGGAGGGGAGGGAGTGTCGTAGGAATTGTGAAGGGGGATAAGTGACTAAAGAGGGGCCGATGGTGAGGCGGCGCATCGGGGAGAGGAACTTGGAGACTTCCTCTGATGGTAGTGAAGTGTCAAAGGTGTGGATGTTGTTGGGGGAAGCTTCATTATGATGCGAAATGTAGGGTGGGGTGGGAGTGGAGGTCAGAGCCAAGTGGTGGGGGCCCGTGAGAGAGAGGTGATGAAAGGGGTAAGCTGAGTGAGGGCGGGAACGGGGTTGGATGGGAGTTTGAGTAGGAGAGCAGACTGACAGAAGTCCCTGCGGGGTAATGTCGAGAGGGATTTAGTGGGGATGATGGGGTTAAGCGTGTGGAGAGAGGGACAGGTGTTGGAGATGAGAGCGTGTGAGTTGTCAGGCAAATGTCCTTGCGAATATGTGACAATCTTGATTTCTGAAGTGATTGGCACATCTCAAGGGACTGCGTGCAGCTGAGGTGCTGTGGTGGATGTTGGGTTGGAGAGACAGTAGTATAGAGTTGGAAGGTGGCGAAGAGTCCGGCCGAGGATAGGAGGGAGAGGGCCTTGATTAGAGGTCAGTGAAGTAGAGCTTTGTTTGGCGGCGTGGAGGGAGGAGGGTGTAAACAGGTGCGGAACAATGCAGATTGGTAGCATGGTGAAAGAGCTTGTTGGGGATTTTGTTTTGCGCCATAGTCCCGCATCCAGGGCACGACTGCGTCGTTTGAGGGTTTCCTAGGAGTGTACTGATATACGAGTCTGCCAGGGACTGGAGCGCTCGGAGTCTGCATGTTTGCGTGTGGTTAAAGGCGCTAGATGAGTCAAGGGCTGACTGACAGCATCGTTGTTCGTAATGCAAGTCCATTAGCCAAGGTCGGGGCCCATGTGACAGGGGGAGGATGCGGATCAGTGGAAGTGATCAGGCTTGCAGAGTGGAGGGGGCAGGGTTCACGATGCGGATGTTATACTGGCTGGTAGTAAGTGGTTGACATTTGGGAGGGGTAAAGGGCGTTGGAGGATGAGAGAGATAGAGAAGGTGACTCAGGTTGTAGGTCCAGCGAGAGAAGGGAAGGGTGTTAGTGAGGTATGTGGGGAAGAGCAGACGTGTTTGGAGCAGACAAGATCAAGGAGATATTTACCTGTTCGGAGTGGGTGGTGGAATTTGTATGCACTGTTGCACATTAGTCACCGGAGGAGGTTAAAGTGTGAGGAGACGGGCTGTGTCCGGGTTGTCAAGGTTGACAGGGATGTTGAAATCCCCAAGAATGATGGTGGGTAGCTCAGAGGAGAGGAAGAAGGGTAAGCCAGGAGGAAGAAGTCATCTCCAGGAAAGCGGGGTATGGATCCCCAGGAATAGCCGGTATATCGACAGTCAATCTATCAGGGGGTTGGGGAGAATAGTCGGTCAACCGCAGAGGGCCTTGAAGAGGCTGAACGGATCGGGAGAGGGGGGGTTAGGGATGGACTGGAGAAGGGTGCTCTGGGCCGTGACAGGAAAGCAGACCAATCCCCACCTACCTTTTACGAGACCGTATAAGGATCTGGGTGAGATAGGGTCCGAGGAGAGACCTTCCATAGGAGAGTGCATGCAGGGGAGGTAGAGTGCAGTGAGTCTGGATCCAGGTTTCCTGTAGAACGCCAGGAGGTTGAGGGAGCGAGAAACAAAGAGGGTCGATTGGAATGGCGGTATATCCACATAAGTAGCAGTGGTACACATGCAATCTTGTTGCTGACAAAGGCACTCAGCATTTTTGCGCTAGAAATACATTGACAACCTGCATCAGAGATCGCACACGCAGTGCGTTTTAGCGTCGAATGCAGGTGTCATGGAATGTTGAGTTCCTGTGTTTTGAGTGTGTGAAACTGGCCTTTATATTAAAAACTTAAAGGCAAAGTTCACCTATAGGAAACATGTTTCCAACCCATATTTCATTTAGGTGCAACCTGTGTAACATGTTTCCCCAACTAGCTTCCCACCGCTCACACCCCTTCCAAACTTGCCAAAGGAGTGAGAGATCTCTCTACACGAAAGCCACATTTTAAAAACAGCAACCGTTGTGTGGAGTTTCCACTTATATGGTTTGTCAGTTCCATTCACAGCCAATCTGTGAGTTGATAGAAACTATAAGGCCGACTGCCACCAACAGCACGACAGCTTGTAGTGCTTCAATGGACTGAAGAGAGCCCCACATAGTCACTGATACTTCCTCCACCTTTCTAACATAAATTCCTGTACAGGCAAGAAAGCTGGAGTAAGCCCTGGTTCACCATATATGCGGACCAATGCATGCGGGCCGCATTTTTGCGCCGCGTCAGAAGAGCCATTTCATTTGAATGGAGTCCTGTCTAGCCCCGTGACACGCGCAAGGAAGAAGTCTCTGCACCTCTTCCGAAAACGCAGCCCTAACGGGAACCTCTGTTTCCAGTACGGTTGCGTTTTCCAGTGCAGGGCGGCGTGCCATTCAGAAGTAATGGCACCCGCCATGCGGGTCCCGCATCTCCATATAAAGTCTAACTCATTTATTAAAGTCTAACTCATTTCCTGAACAGGTATCACAGAAACAGAAAGTTGGGGAAAACCTGCCAGAGATATTACATTTTTTCCACTCTTTCCAAAACCCATGCCCAATCACTTAACTTCTGCAGCAGTATACATAACGTATTCTAAAAGCATCAGACCACTGCTGCCCAGAAATCAGTAATAAAAAATAAAAAGCTTCAATATCAAGCAATATAAAATATAACTTACTCGAGTTTCCCAAGAAAATGGTCCAGAGTGTTCATCTTGCCATGTTATGTCCTGAAAAAAAAGAGTGATTAAATGTCAGTATCCATACGCTCACATCTTTATTAGATTACAAGTTATGCCTAAATCTGTGGGCATGTCTAATTGTCAAACAGTTCCATATGAAGGCACCTGCTTTAGCTGTTAGAAGCCTATTGTACAAGAAACAATCTTGCAAATCCAAAGAATAAAACACAGTACAGAGCTGGCACATAAAAGCACCAAGTATACAATGCTGGATGGTCTGTTCTGCAGAATAGCTAGGCTAGATTGACACTATATATGGTACTACGTCTAAATTGTATGCTCTCCTGCACCTGTAGCAAAAACACGCTGCTGATAGCAGAGCCAATAGGAACTAATGGCACCCCCACACAATGGAAACTGTTGGGTGGTTTCCCTTGCTGGGATCCGTATAGCATAGGATGGAAGAGGGGATTAGTCACTCTTCCCACTCATTCAACTTTGTGTGTCATTTTTAGGTCTGAAGATTACGTAAAACCCCTAAGTCTTGGTTCACACTACTGTGACCTGAAAGTCGAGCGACTTTGCCAGGCGACTCGAGTACTACTTTGAAGCAACTTTCAGGGCATAAATGCAATATATATTACAAAATTTTTGGTAAACTATAAAAGAGTCAGTTGCACCAAGTGAACAGATATCCAACATGTCCAGCCATAAAACTGTGTGTGGCCATGAAATGGCAACAAACTTCGATACCCTATATTTTCCATAAGTGACACTTTAAAAGCCCCTACAGGTCATCAGTTTAGAGTTAAAGTGGCTGCAAACCTCAGACATGAAATATGAACAAAGCATAGCACGTACTTGTCTCAGTTAACCACGTGCCCTCCATAGGATTTAACCCCCTTCCTGACCAGGCCATTTTTTGCGTTACGGAGCTGTGTTAATTTAACTGACAATTGCGCGGTCATGGAACACTGCACCCAAATTAAATTTAGGTCCTTTTTTCTCCATGAATTGAGCTTTCTTTTGGTGGTATTTGATTTTTATTTTTTGCGCTATAAACAAAGAGACTGAGAAAAAAAAATAAATATATTTTTGACTTTTGCTATTAAACATGTCCAGTAAAAAAATTTTAAAAAATCTAATTTAGGCCAAAATGTATTCTGCTACATGTCTTTGCTAAAAAAAAAACAAAAAAAAAAACCCAATACGTGTAAATTAATTGGTTTACGTGAAAGTGATAGAGTTTACAAATGGCGGTATATATACTGGGATTTTTAAAATTTTTACTAGTAATGACAGCAATCAGTGACTTATAGCAGGACTGCAGCGGGCATTCTGACACTGGAGGGAACTGACCTGGTGTCACTGACATCCCCAGTGACACCAATACAGTGATCAATGCTAAAGACGGTACTAATGGCACTGGGCAGGAAGGGGTTAACATGAGGGGCGCTCAATGGGTTAACTGTGTGCTATTTTACTATGTGCTGTGTCCATGTGCTTCACTGTAAGCACAGTGCTTTGCATGGCTGTGCTGTGCACAGCCATCCAAAGCAGTGTGCATGAGCTGACAGGTAGAATAACTGTTTTGTTTGCAAACAGTTCTCCTCGTCGGAGATGCTTGGCAATCACTGGGTGCCGGTGAGTAATCACCGGCCGGGACCCGGTGATTGACAGCTGTGAATGGCAGTGCGGGTAGGGTGCGTGCCCCCTACCCGGAAATATAAAATCACGTATATATACACACACACACACATGCTGCCCTGTAGCAGTATATCTGCTATAGGGCGGTCGGGAAGCGGTTAAGAGCCCAAAATGTCATTTCTGTCTGCTACTTCCTTCTTCTGCTATCAGAAGACAGTGGAGGGACTTTGAGCAGATTGACAGCCTCAGCTCTGTTCCTGTGTGCCATGTGAAGGGGGGGTGGGGTGTTCCTTCTCTTCAGTAATGCTGCCCCAAACTACCTCGCCGACCTGATACCCAAATACCGCCCAACCCGCACTCTTCGCTCCTCACAAGACCTCCTACTTTTTAGCTCCCTGGTCTCCACCTCCCACGCCCGACTGCAGGACTTCTCCAGGACTTCCCCCATCCTCTAGAACTCACTACCCCAATCCATCAGACTGTCACCTACCCTCCTCACCTTTAGGCGCACCCTGAAAACCCATCTCTTCAGGGAAGCCTACCCCACCCTCACCTAACAGCTGATCTCCTCCACTCCTCCTACCACTCCATCCCCCACAGCCACTTCCTCCTGTACCACTATCCCCTCCCTCCTAGATTGTAAGCTCGAAAGAGCAGGGCCCTTGAACCCCTCATGTACGGTTTTGTTACTGTATTGTCTCATGTTCTGTCCCCCACTATAATGTACAGCGCTGTACTGTATAATACTGTATAATAATAATCAGCTCTCAGAGTTCTCCTCAGAGTGCTGCAGAGTGTAATTTCAGTTCTCTGCCCCCTATTTTCTGAATGCTCAGACAAGCTGTATAAATTCTGGACTTTGAACTGTTGTAGTGAATATAATACTGCAGATAAATAGGTACAACTTATGTAAGAGGGTTTATTTGATCTCTGTGTATCAGCTGAGGCCAGTCAATTCACTGGTTATATTTAAGGGTTTACAACCACTTTAACCTTGAATAATGGACGTAGAATTATTGCTCTTACTCTGGCCTGTGCAGTGTATTTTAACACGTGTAGCGCAATCAACGTTTTTGTAAGTAGGTGCCCCTGACGCATGCGTTTACATTCATACGTGTGTGTATGTATTTACGAGAGGGCTCAACAATTTTTAAGGGGGATTTTAAAGTGGCTGTAAAAGGCTCAAGGTTTTTTATCTTCATGCATTCTATGAATGAAGGTAAAAAAAACCTTCTCTGTGCAGCAGCTCCCCCAGATCCCCTAGTATTCACCTAAGCCCCATCTCGTTCCAGTGATGTGACCTGGAGTCTATCCCCAGACTCCCTCTCCTCATTGGCTGAGGCCAGTGAGCCAATGAGAAGAGAGAGGGGGAAGGGCTAAGCCACGGCTGTGTGTGAATGGACACACAGAGCAGCGGGTGCCTCTATAGCAAGCTGCTTGCTGTGGGGGCACCAGACCAGAGGGAGGAGCCAGGATCGCCGGTGGGGGACCCGAGAAGAGGAGTATCTGTGCTGTGCAAAACCACTGCAGAGAGCAGGTAAGTATGATGTGTTTGTTATTTAAAAAAAAAAGCCTTTATTATCACATTAAGTGCTTAGGTAAAACTGTCCTGAAGAAAAAAATACATCCTAACCAGGATCTATAAAGAAGTGGAAGACCCAAAAGCACAACTGCTCATGAAGAGAAGTACATTGGAAACCACTGTCTGGCCATAGAGGTACAGTTTCAAAGAAAAAGCCGTATCTGAAACTGGCAAATGAATAAAAGAGCTGAAATGATCAAAAGATCAAATGACTGGAGTATTATGGACATTATAGAGTATTATGGACATTATGGAGTATTATGGACATTATGGAGTATTATGGACATTATGGAGTATTATGGACATTATGGAGTATTATGGAGTATTATGGACATTATGGAGTATTATGGAGTATTATGGACATTATGGAGTATTATGGACATGTCTGAGGGGTTCAGATCAAGAAGGGGAATGTTTGTGAGACAAACAGCAAATGTAAGAATGCTGGATCTCTCTTGATGTCTTCTGTAGAAAATAGTATGGAGCAACTTTGGGTCTGGCAAGGTGTAAGGTTTCCAGAAGATACAATAAGTAATGAAGCAGACAGGTTATCATGCTATTTACAAGGTCATGCCATCCCCTGTGACCAGCCTTAGATTGGTACAAAGTTCAAGTTCAATACCAAGTAAATGTCTAGTCAATTTAAACCTATAATATAGGAAGCCACAGTAAGATCTTTCACTGACTTGCAGGCACAACTGGCAGAACATAATAATACCCTACAAGCCAGTCACAGATCTGGAAAAAACTACTGAAGGCAAAGATTGAAATTTCCCCAGAATATATACAAAAACTGACAGCTAAAATGCTATAGGGCTGTAAATGCTGCAAACAGAGAATTCTTGGCTGAATGGAACAGATATATGAAATAAAAAAGAAAGATTGTTATGACATTTTTTAACATGAGGACTATAATTTATCTTCAGTTTAATGATACTTTGGTGAAAAGAGTATCAACTTCTGTCAAAAACATGAGTACTCCTTAATGTAGCTAGAAGCTGACGGGCGTCTAAAATATCATTCAATGACTTGCTGAACACGTCTCAAATGCATTTCAACACTTGATAAACATACTAGGTAGACTGTGATGACAGAGCTGATACCAAGCACTCATTTGGCCTCAGTGGAAAGGTTTTATCTCGGTATTAACCGTATACGGTATACATGTGGCAAGACGGAAAACTAAAGAGAAATGATAATTAAAACCAGATTTAATCTTGCAAATTTTTATATGCGCAATTTCTATTGTTGTGCCCCCATATTATGGGATCCAAACAGGAAGTTAGCAGACATGGTAAAAAAAGTTTGTTTGACACATAAGATGTGGCTGGAAAAGAAAATCTTTCCAACAAAAGATGGACCTGATTGATTGCCTAAACAATTTATAAGTTTTATAACACAAGATATAAGGCGAGCACAGATAATACGGTGAGCCTTACGTACTGACGTCACGCAGCCGCGGCCGGAGTTCGGAGCAGCGGGCATCTTGGTATGCTTTTATGCATTTAACTCTTTGCTGTATCCACATGGATTATTTTTTAACTATTTACAATAAATACTACACTATATTGCCATACCTTCGGCTCCTGTGGTGAGCTTCTCCCCCGGATCCTTGGCTGGTTTTGCATAGCCCTGACCCTGGAAAAGTCCGGTCCCTATTTATGGTTTCCTGAGAACCCCCCATAAGGATCAGCATTAATGCTATTATACAAGTAGCGTTTTGGTGAGTGCACATCCATAGAAAGTGGTGGATTCCCATGTTGGATCATGAGCACTGTCGAGCATCCCAGCTGGTATTGATGCACCTTGTAGTTCCATG